ACAGGGGTGATGTGCTCTCTCTGTCCCTGTGAGTCAGTGAAGCACAGGGGTGATGTGTTCTTTCTGTCCCTGTGAGCCGGTGAAGCACAGGGGTAATGTGCTCTCTCTGTCCCTGTGAGTCAGTGAAGCACAGGGGTGATGTGCTCTCTCTGTCCCTGTGAGCCAGTGAAGCACAGGGGTGATGTGCTCTCTCTGTCCCTGTGAGTCAGTGAAGCACAGGGGTGATGTGCTCTCTCTGTCCCTGTGAGCCAGTGAAGCACAGGGGTGATGTGTTCTCTCTGTCCCTGTGAGCCAGTGAAGTGATGTGCTCTCTCTGTCCCTGTGAGCCAGTGAAGCACAGGGGTGATGTGCTCTCTCTGTCCCTGTGAGTCAGTGAAGCACAGGGGTGATGTGCTCTCTCTGTCCCTGTGAGTCAGTGAAGCACAGGGGTGATGTGCTCTCTCTGTCCCTGTGAGCCAGTGAAGCACAGGGGTGATGTGCTCTCTCTGTCCCTGTGAGCCAGTGAAGCACAGGGGTGATGTGCTCTCTCTGTCCCTGTGAGCCAGTGAAGCACAGGGGTGATGTGCTCTCTCTGTCCCTGTGAGCCAGTGAAGCACAGGGATGATGTGCTCTCTCTGTCCCTGTGAGCCAGTGAAGCACAGGGGTGATGTGCTCTCTCTGTCCCTGTGAGCCAGTGAAGCACAGGGGTGATGTGCTCTCTCTGTCCCTGTGAGCCAGTGAAGCACAGGGGTGATGTGTTCTCTCTGTCCCTGTGAGCCAGTGAAGCACAGGGGTGATGTGCTCTGTCCCTGTGAGCCAGTGAAGCACAGGGGTGATGTGCTCTGTCCCTGTGAGCCAGTGAAGCACGGGGTGATGTGCTCTCTCTGTCCCTGTGAGCCAGTGAAGCACAGGGGTGATGTGCTCTCTCTGTCCCTGTGAGCCAGTGAAGCACAGGGGTGATGTGTTCTCTCTGTCCCTGTGAGCCAGTGAAGCACAGGGGTGATGTGCTCTCTCTGTCCCTGTGAGCCAGTGAAGCACAGGGGTGATGTTCTCTCTCTGTCCCTGTGAGTCAGTGAAGCACAGGGGTGATGTGCTCTCTCTGTCCCTGTGAGTCAGTGAAGCACAGGGGTGATGTGCTCTCTCTGTCCCTGTGAGCCAGTGAAGCACAGGGGTGATGTGCTCTCTCTGTCCCTGTGAGCCAGTGAAGCACAGGGGTGATGTGCTCTCTCTGTCCCTGTGAGCCAGTGAAGCACAGGGGTGATGTGCTCTCTCTGTCCCTGTGAGCCAGTGAAGCACAGGGGTGATGTGCTCTCTCTGTCCCTGTGAGTCAGTGAAGCACAGGGGTGATGTGCTCTCTCTGTCCCTGTGAGCCAGTGAAGCACAGGGGTGATGTGCTCTCTCTGTCCCTGTGAGCCAGTGAAGCACAGGGGTGATGTGCTCTCTCTGTCCCTGTGAGCCAGTGAAGCACAGGGGTGATGTGCTCTCTCTGTCCCTGTGAGCCAGTGAAGCACAGGGGTGATGTGCTCTCTCTGTCCCTGTGAGCCAGTGAAGCACAGGGGTGATGTGCTCTCTCTGTCCCTGTGAGCCAGTGAAGCACAGGGGTGATGTGCTCTTGATGACAGACGTGATGGTTTTTCTCCATATTCAGTGGTTTAAGGAGACTGTGGTGCACCTTCCTCTCCTCCTTCATACTTTATCTGTCTGCATTATTAGATCTGGACTGTAGTCCATCTCTGCTCCCACTCTCTGGAACTCCCTCCCCCTCCATCTCAGAAACTCGGACTCTCTAAACTCCTTCAAAAAACAGCTCAAAACTCACCTTTTTCTCCGAGCATTTGACTCTTAGTTTAAACTTTCTACCCTTCTTCCTCACTCTTAGATTAGACGTGTGTGTTTGTGTCATGAATTTGTGAAGCGTCTTTGAGTTCTTGAAAAGCGCTATATAAAACTGATGTATTATTATTATTAATAATAATAATAATAATAATACATTTTATTTAAAAGCGCCTTTCAAAACACCCAAGGACACTGTACAGGCATAATAAAAACATTTAAAAACAGGATAAACAGAATAAAACAGTAGTCAGGTGCAATATGGGATGGTGTGTGTGTGTGTGTGATTTAGGAGGGTGTGTGTGTGCGTATGTGTTAGGTGTGTGTGTGTGTGTGTGTGTGTGTGTGCGCGCGTGTGTGTTAGGTGGGGTAGGACAGTCTGAACAGATGGGTTTTGAGTCGGGATTTGAAGAGTGGAAGAGAGTCAATGGTACGGAGGTCAGGGGGGAGAGAGTTCCAGAGCTGGGGGGCAGAGTGGCTGAAGGCTCTGTGTCCCACAGTGATGAGTCTGGCTGGGGGGACGGAGAGTGTGAGGGTGGAGGAGGAGCGGAGTGTGCGGGCAGGAATGTGAGGGTGGAGGAGGTCAGATTATTATTATTAGTCTGTTCATTGCTATTCACCCGTTGCTCCATTGTCTGTTTCATGGTACGTCGACAGGACCTGAACCTGGCCCTGGAGCTGCTTCAGTCCTGCATCAGTCCTCGTTCTACAGTCTGAGTCCTGGATCTACAGCCTTGGTCCTCGTTCTACAGTCTGAGTCCTGGATCTACAGCCTTGGTCCTCGTTCTACAGTCTGAGTCCTGGATCTACAGCCTCAGTCCTCGTTCTACAGTCTGACTCCTGGATCTACAGCCTCGGTCCTCGTTCTACAGTCTGACTCCTGGATCTACAGCCTCAGTCCTCGTTCTACAGTCTGAGTCCTGGATCTACAGCCTCAGTCCTCGTTCTACAGTCTGAGTCCTGGGTCTACAGGCTCAGTCCTCGTTCTACAGTCTGAGTCCTGGATCTACAGCCTCAGTCCTCGTTCTACAGTCTGAGTCCTGGATCTACAGCCTCAGTCCTCGTTCTACAGTCTGAGTCCTGGATCTACAGCCTCAGTCCTCGTTCTACAGTCTGAGTCCTGGATCTACAGCCTCAGTACTCGTTCTACAGTCTGAGTCCTGGATCTACAGCCTCAGTACTCGTTCTACAGTCTGAGTCCTAGATCTACAGCCTCAGTCCTCGTTCTACAGTCTGAGTCCTGGATCTACAGCCTCGGTCCTCGTTCTACAGTCTGACTCCTGGATCTACAGCCTCGGTCCTCGTTCTACAGTCTGAGTCCTGGGTCTACAGCCTCAGTCCTCGTTCTACAGTCTGAGTCCTGGGTCTACAGCCTCAGTCCTCGTTCTACAGTCTGACTCCTGGATCTACAGCCTCGGTCCTCGTTCTACAGTCTGAGTCCTGGATCTACAGCCTCGGTCCTCGTTCTACAGTCTGACTCCTGGATCTACAGCCTCGGTCCTCGTTCTACAGTCTGACTCCTGGATCTACAGCCTCGGTCCTCGTTCTACAGTCTGAGTCCTGGATCTACAGCCTCGGTCCTCGTTCTACAGTCTGAGTCCTGGATCTACAGCCTCGGTCCTCGTTCTACAGTCTGACTCCTGGATCTACAGCCTCGGTCCTCGTTCTACAGTCTGAGTCCTGGATCTACAGCCTCGGTCCTCGTTCTACAGTCTGAGTCCTGGATCTACAGCCTCGGTCCTCGTTCTACAGTCTGAGTCCTGGATCTACAGCCTCAGTCCTCGTTCTACAGTCTGAGTCCTGGATCTACAGCCTCAGTCCTCGTTCTACAGTCTGAGTCCTGGATCTACAGCCTCAGTACTCGTTCTACAGTCTGAGTCCTGGATCTACAGCCTCAGTACTCGTTCTACAGTCTGAGTCCTGGATCTACAGCCTTGGTCCTCGTTCTACAGTCTGAGTCCTGGATCTACAGCCTCGGTCCTCGTTCAGTCTGAGTCCTGGATCTACAGCCTTGGTCCTCGTTCTACAGTCTTAAGTTTTTTAACACACAGGGGGCACACACTCAGTGTACCCAGCTGACAGTGTACCCAGTCAGCTGGGTACTGGGGACTGGATACACGTTTCCAATGTGGTTTTACTGCAGATGGACCTCTGAGTTTTACTTCTGTCACTTGCAGCTGCTGTTATGTTCGTTATGAACAATACTTTTTACTCTGATAAAAACAATGTGGAATAAATCCATTTTACTTCAGAGTAAATCTGAACTCTTGTACAGAAAATAAGATTTGTACATGTTGACCTGAGAGGAGCTCGGAGTAGAGCCGAGTGGAGAGGGAAGTCTGGGGTCTCTGTTTAGACTGCTGCCCCTGCAAACCGGCAACAGATAAAACGGGAGAAAATGTGGATCTATTACTGTACTTGGGAGCACTTATTAAAGATGTTAGCTCAAATATTACATCCAGTCCCCACTTTGTCTTACTAATACTTTGTCAAGTTTTTATATCAAGTACTAGCAGATACTTTCAACAGATACTTTCAACAGATACTTTCAACAGATACTTTCAACCTGAGAACATAATCCATCTCTCTCTGAATCTGTGGAACTGTCCAGTCCTGCAGGATTCTGGCTCAGACCTGGACCTGACATCCTCAGCGTCAGCACTGTGCGCCCGGGACGAGCTGCTGACACGCGCACACACACACACACACACACTAACACACACACACACGCACAATAATACACACACACACACACAAACATACGCACACTAACACACACACACACTAACACACACACACACGCACAATAGTACACTCACACACACACACACACAAACATACGCACACTAACACACACACACACACACAGGAACACTAACACACACACACACACTAAAACACACACGCACACTAACACACACACACACACTAACACACACACACACACACGCACACTAATACACACACACACACTAACACATACACGCACACTAACACACACACACACTAACACACGCGCGCACACACACACATACACACTAACACACACACCCACACACACACACACACGCTCTCACATGCTGACACGCACTCGTAGCGGACAGTAGAGCTGACACGTGCACGCTCATTGACACGTGCACGCGCACTGACACATGCACTCGCAGCAGACAGTGTCAGTCTGAAGCAGCATGTCTCTGCTGAAGGAGCGCAACAGAGAGCTCGAGCGCTTCGACGGACTCTCCCTCATCTACTGGTATGTGCTCTTTAACTGCTGGTATGTGCTCTTTAACTACTGGTATGTGCTCTTTAACTACTGGTATGTGCTCTTTAACTACTGGTATGTGCTCTTTAACTACTGGTATGTGCTCTTTAACTACTGGTATGTGCTCTTTAACTACTGGTATGTGCTCTTTAACTGCTGGTATGTGTTCTTTAACTACTGGTATGTGCTCTTTAACTGCTGGTATGTGTTCTTTAACTACTGGTATGTGCTCTTTAACTACTGGTATGTGCTCTTTAACTGCTGGTATGTGTTCTTTAACTACTGGTATGTGTTCTTTAACTGCTGGTATGTGTTCTTTAACTACTGGTATGTGCTCTTTAACTACTGGTATGTGTTCTTTAACTACTGGTATGTGCTCTTTAACTACTAGTATGTGTTCTTTAACTCCTGGTATGTGTTCTTTAACTACTGGTATGTGTTCTTTAACTACTGGTATGTGCTCTTTAACTACTGGTATGTGTTTTTTAACTCCTGGTATGTGCTCTTTAATCAATCAATCAATCAACGTTTATTTATAGAGCGCCTTTCCTACACAAGGCAACGCAAAGCGCCTCACAACCCATATAACATCATGCATAAATCATCAAACATTAGAATTTAAGTAAACATAAAAAGACAGATTAAGAGCACAAGATATATAAAATTACACAAGTAGTTAAAAACCGTAAAAAATTAAAATCACACAAGGGATTACAATCATAAATAATCATAAATAATCATAGCGCATTAAAAAGATTAAAGATAAAAACAAATGTAAAATCATTCACTTGTATGCACAGCTAAAAAGAACTGTTTTCAGTTCAGTTTTAAAAACTGCTAGAGTAGACGCCTGTCTCACACTCTCAGGAAGACGGTTCCAGACTCTAGCTGCATGAATCTGAAACGCAGCCTCCCCATGTCTAGTTCCGACTCTTGGCACTAACAGAAGTCCAGTCCCTGTGCTCCTCAGAGCCCGAGTTGGTTCATATGGCACCAACATGTCGCGGATGTACCCTGGTGCGAGGCCATGGAGAGACTTGTACACAAGTAAAGCTACTTTAAAATCTATTCTCTGAGCCACAGGAAGCCAGTGCAGAGACCTGAGGACCGGACTAATGTGGTCGTACTTCCTGGTTCTAGTCAGGACTCGAGCTGCAGCATTTTGGATGTACTGCAGCTGTTTTACCGCTTGTTTAGAGAGACCTGTGAACAAGCCATTGCAGTAGTCCAATCGACTGGAGACAAATGCGTGGATAAGAATCTCCAAGTCTGCTTTAGACACAATGTTTTTAATTTTAGCAATGTTTCTTAGGTGGAAGTAAGCTGATGATGTCACAGATGATATGTGGCTATTGAAATTCAAGTCTGAGTCCATTATTACTCCTAGATTTCTGACCTGAGTTGAGGGTTTCAGGGAGAGAGACTGGAGGTGGCAGATAACGCTCTCTCTTTGTTTCTGAGGTCCGAAAACAATAATTTCAGTTTTTTCTGTGTTTAGCTGGAGAAAGTTATTTTGCATCCAATCACTGATCTGTTGGATACAGTGAAGGAGCGAGTCCACTGGTCCATGTTCTCCTGCTGTCAGGGACACATAGACCTGAGTATCGTCAGCGTAATTGTGATAGGACACGTTATTACTGTGTATTAACCTACCCAGAGGCAGCATGTAAATATTAAACAGGAGAGGCCCCAGGATTGAGCCCTGTGGCACTCCGCAGGTCAGGGCCAGATGGTCTGAGACACAGTTTCCGATCTCCACAAAATACTTTCTGTCCTGTAGGTAGGATATAAACCAGCTTAGGGCTGTTCCAGAAACACCAACCCAGTCCTCAAGTCTCTGAATGAGGATACCATGATCGACAGTGTCGAAAGCAGCACTCAAATCTAACAGGATAAGAACTGAGACTTTTCCTGCGTCAGTGTTAAGTCTGATGTCATTTGTTACCTTCACTAGAGCGGTCTCTGTGCTGTGGTGGGGTCTAAAACCAGACTGGAACATATCAAAAGAGTGATTGATTATTAAAAATTCTGTAAGTTGGTGATAGACAACTTTTTCTAGAATTTTACCCATGAAAGGCAGATTTGAAATGGGCCGATAACTTTTAAGTGCCAAGGCATCCAGACTCCTCTTTTTTAGGAGGGGTCTGATGACTGCCGTTTTCAGGGCCATTGGGAATGTTCCAGATTCAAGAGACATATTTACTATATGCGTGAGTGAAGGTAAAAGACTGCTCAGAACAGATTTAAGAAATCTAGGAGGTAATACATCCAGGCTGCATGTAGAAGAACTCAGACTTGTAATTATCATTTGGACAGTTTCATTTTGTACTGGTGTAAAGTGTGTCAGCCCAAAAAGCTTCACTGGCTGTTTGATTGTAATTTCTACTGTGGAGGTGATGGCATTTTTGATGCCTTGGACTTTGTCATTAAAAAACTCTGCAAACTCATTACATTTGGTTTTGGAGGTAAGCTCTGATGGCATCTTAACAGGGGGATTTGTCAATTTATTTACCGTTGAGAACAGAACGCGTAGATTGCCACTACAACCTTCGATTGTTTCGGAAAAATAAGTTTCCCTCGTTCTACGTAGCACACTGTTGAACTTGCACAATGCATCTTTGAAGATCTCATGGTCAACTTGGAGATTTGACTTTCGCCACTTCCGCTCGGCTCTCCGGCACTCTCTCTTCTGTGCCCTGACAGAGTCTGCTTTTGTCCATGGCGCCTTTTGCTTATTTGTAACAATTTTGACCTTTACAGGAGCAATCGTGTCCAGAACATCCAAAACACTAGAGGTGACAGAGTTAAGTAATTCATCCACAGTAGAACACAACGTGTTATCAAAGTTTATCATCCCCATGAAAAGTTCACCTGTATTTTTGTTTATGTGTCTTCTTCTTCTAACAATTGAGGATTCAGCTCGTGCTTTACTATTGAGACACATATCAAAAAATACACAGAAATGATCTGACAGAGCAACATTGGCCACATTTACATTTGAGATATTAACCCCTTTAGTAATTAGCAGATCGAGAGTGTGTCCTCTGCTATGGGTGGGGCCACTCACATGCTGAGTGAGACCAAAGGTTTCCAGCACAGAGCTCAGCTCTTTCGCGTATCTATCATTAACGTTATCTACATGTATATTAAAATCACCTATGACGACTAAACTATCAAAGTCTGTGCACACAACTGAAAGCAACTCGGTGAAATGATCAGTGAAACTATGACATGACTGTGGCGGCTTGTACACAACAATAATAAGAATAGAAGATTGTTTTTGTTCTATTTTAAAAGAGACATACTCAAATGAGGAAAATTTCCCAAGAGGTACTCTATGGGAGACAATACAATCTTTAAAAACTGCTGCTGTGCCTCCTCCTCTTTTATTTTCTCGAATTTCTGATTCAAATTTGAAATTTGGTGGTGTTGTTTCTATTAAAACTGCATTTTCTGTATTATGGTCAAGCCAAGTTTCAGTCATAAACATAAAGTCAAGATCATAAGAACAGATAAAATTATTAATTAAAAAGGATTTATTGCATAGTGATCTGACATTAAGCAGAGCAAGGTTAAAAATAATGTCAGTGTCAGTGGGTTTAGTTGATTGACTACAAAGAATTGGAATTAGATTTCCTGAGTTGGACCGTCTAACTGCTGTCCTTCTGTTATATTTGTGTTTATTCAAATTAAAACACATTTCTGAGCCGGTGCGAGGAACACACACTGTCTCTATTGGTTTAAAAAGTGAACTCTGTTTTACTTTGTTAAGTTCCAGATGCATGGCTGAGTAAGTGCCGTTCAGTGGCAGGACTGGTATTACACTGCCAGACGGACAGGGGTCAGTGTTTGCACCACAGTACTCACCCGGTGCTGGAGTGGAGGAGGAAGGTGGTAGTGGGGGCCGAGAGGCCTCGGATGTAAACAGTCACGCCCCCCTCGGGGAGCACTGAACAACATGGCGTAAAAAGTCCATCAATAAACTGGTGCCGTATCTGTTCGGGTGCAGACCGTCTGGACGATAGGCCACGTGACGCTTCCAGAACAGGCCAAAGTTGTTCACAAAAACAAAGTTAAAAGTGCTGCATGTAGACTGGAGCCACATATTCAGCGCCACAACGCGACTGTACAAGCAGTCTCCCCGGTTTACAGTCGGGACTGGACCAGAGATAAAAACACACAACCCAGAGGACTGGAGGAGGCGGAATAGATCCATAAAATGCTTCTTTGTGACCTCGGACTGCTGCAGCTTCATGTCGTTGATCCCCACATGCACGATTACCTTTGAAATGGTATCAGGCAGGGACTGAAGCAGAGGAGGGAGACGGATGAGCAGGTCTGGTACAATGGCTCCGGGAAAACACTGAGTGACCGCGTTAAAAAAGCGGACGTGCCTCACGATGGAATCTCCAACAATCAAAGTAGTCGGGGCGAAGAGTGGACGTAGCCGCGGAGAAGGCGCTCGGTGTCCATGGCCGGAACCAGCGGGCTCATCCAGGGATGAGTCCGAACCAGGGCGCTGCTGAACACATGGAGGGGAGCGGGGGTGTTGATTCTCAGCTCCGGGCAACCCACGCTGTGTGCTCGGGGACGCTGGAGCGGCGTGAGGAGCAGGCTCGGGTCGCTGCTGCTGACCCGGTGAAGGTAAGTGGTGGTGATGCACTGGGGTCAGAGAAGGGGAATGACCACTCTTTCGTCTGAGGACGGCTTCCTTTAGGAGCGTTTTTCTCGCAGTGGACCTGGATCCACGAACGGCAGAGTACGCTGCAGAGTCCAGGGGTTCTGCTGAGGGGGCTGGGATGTCAGTGGAGAGTGCTGCATAGCGGTTTGACAGGCTTAGGACATGGGCCACGGCGCTGGATGGCTCCTCGCAGTTCGCGGGTTCCTCATTCGGAACCGGGCGCTTAGGTGTAGAACAGGAGGGTCCAGAGCTGACAGATCTCTCCCACACGACAGTGTCACAGTATGCAGCGCTCAGTGACATAAGCCGTGAGTGTTGCCCGCCAGCGACATCAAAAAGTTTGGACACGAGTGACTGTTTGTCCTGCAGCTCTGCAGTGAGGCGAAGGACTTCTTTACGGAGGTCTGCAATAGTGGCACGGTCCCTCTCACGAAGCTCCAATGTGAGGCGACTAATGTCGTTCGTGGTCATTGCAGTGTCACTTTCCATGTCTGTGGTGCGCTCGTGGTAGCCTCCGAGCTAGCGCGTTTCGATTGGGTCTTTGTGTTAAAAGACGTGATGCTCTGGAACCATTGCATTTAAGGTAAAAACACTAGAGTGTACAAAAGACACTAATACACCGTAAAAACGTGTTTAAAAGGCTTTAAAAGGCTTTAAAAGGCTTAAAAGGGTAAACAGAGCAGAGACGTCAAAAACTACTGGTATGTGTTCTTTAACTACTGGTATGTGCTCTTTAACTACTGGTATGTGCTCTTTAACTACTGGTATGTGTTCCTTAACTCCTGGTATGTGTTCTTTAACTACTGGTATGTGCTCTTTAACTACTGGTATGTGTTCTTTAACTACTGGTATGTGTTCTTGAACTACTGGTATGTGTTCTTTAACTACTGGTATGTGCTCTTTAACTACTGGTATGTGTTCTTTAACTCCTGGTATGTGTTCTTTAACTCCTGGTATGTGTTCTTTAACTCCTGGTATGCGTTCTTTAACTCCTGGTATGTGCTCTTTAACTACTGGTATGTGTTCTTTAACTACTGGCATGTGTTCTTTAACTACTGGTATGTGTTCTTTAACTCCTGGTATGTGTTCTTGAACTACTGGTATGTGCTCTTTAACTCCTGGTATGTGTTCTTGAACTACTGGTATGTGCTCTTTAACTACTGGTATGTGCTCTTTAACTACTGGTATGTGCTCTTTAACTACTGGTATGTGTTCTTTAACTCCTGGTATGTGTTCTTGAACTACTGGTATGTGTTCTTTAACTACTGGTATGTGTTTTTTAACTACTGGTATGTGTTCTTTAACTACTGGTATGTGTTCTTTAACTCCTGGTATGTGTTCTTGAACTACTGGTATGTGCTCTTTAACTACTGGTATGCGTTCTTTAACTCCTGGTATGTGTTCTTGAACTACTGGTATGTGTTATTTAACTACTGGTATGTGTTCTTTAACTACTGGTATGTGTTCTTTAACTACTGGTATGTGCTCTTTAACTACTGGTATGTGTTCTTTAACTACTGGTATGTGTTCTTGAACTACTGGTATGTGTTCTTTAACTACTGGTATGTGCTCTTTAACTACTGGTATGTGCTCTTTAACTACTGGTATGTGTTCTTTAACTACTGGTATGTGTTCTTTAACTACTGGTATGTGTTCTTTAACTACTGGTATGTGCTCTTTAACTACTGGTATGTGTTCTTTAACTACTGGTATGTGTTCTTTAACTACTGGTATGTGCTCTTTAACTACTGGTATGTGTTCTTTAACTACTGGTATGTGCTCTTTAACTACTGGTATGTGTTCTTTAACTCCTGGTATGTGTTTATGGTCAAATAAACGATGCAAACATCCAACACAGACGCTCGGTGGCGCCGCAGCCGCAGAACACTCTGGTCTCCACCAGGGGGCCACAGCACACCTTTTCAATGGCCACAAATGGTCCGCAGGCCACGTGTTTGCAACCACTGTTTTAGAGAATACAGCTGTGGATGATGCAGATGTGGATGATACAGCTGTGAATAGATGCAGCTGTGGTTGAATACAGCTGTGGTTGGATGCAGCTGTGGATGGATACAGCTGTGGTTGGATATAGCTGTGGATGGATACAGCTGTGGTTGAATACAGCTGTGGTTGGATGCAGCTGTGGATGGATACAGCTGTGGTTGATACAGCTGTGGATGGATGCAGCTGTGGATGATACAGCTGTGGTTGATACAGCTGTGGATGATGCAGATGTGGATGATACAGCTGTGGATGGATACAGCTGTGAATAGATGCAGCTGTGGTTGGATACAGCTGTGGATGGATGCAGCTGTGGTTGGATACAGCTGTGGATGGATACAGCTGTGGTTGAATACAGCTGTGGTTGGATGCAGCTGTGGATGGATACAGCTGTGGTTGAATACAGCTGTGGTTGGATACAGCTGTGGATGGATACAGCTGTGGTTGAATACAGCTGTGGTTGGATGCAGCTGTGGATGATACAGCTGTTGTTGATACAGCTGTGGTTGATACAGCTGTGGATGGATGCAGCTGTGGTTGATACAGCTGTGGATAGATGCAGCTGTGGTTAAATACAGCTGTGGATGGATACAGCTGTGGTTGGATACAGCTGTGGATGGATACAGCTGTGGTTGAATACAGCTGTGGTTGGATACAGCTGTGGATGGATACAGCTGTGGTTGTATACAGCTGTGGTTGGATGCAGCTGTGGATGGATACAGCTGTGGTTGATACAGCTGTGGATGGATGCAGCTGTGGATGATACAGCTGTGGTTGATACAGCTGTGGATGGATGCAGCTGTGGTTGATACAGCTGTGGATGGATGCAGCTGTGGATGATACAGCTGTGGTTGATACAACTGTGGTTGATACAGCTGTGGATGGATGCAGCTGTGGTTGATACAGCTGTGGATGGATGCAGCTGTGGTTGATACAGCTGTGGTTGATAATGCTGTGGATGATACAGCTGTGGATGATACAGCTGTGGTTTATACAGCTTTGGATGGATGCAGCTGTGGTTGATACAGCTGTGGAAATAATGAGATAAATGTGTCTGTTATAACATTATTGAACTGTTCTCGGAGGTCGTTTCAATTCAATTCACTTTATTATTTTATCGCGCTAAATCACAACAGTCGTTTCTCTGAGGACTTTATCAAACTGTTATAGTAATACCATGGGTCTATAATAATAACTGTTATAGTAATACCATGGGTCTATTATAATAACTGTTATAGTAATACCATGGGTCTATAATTATATCTGTTATAGTAATACCATGGGTCTATAATAATATCTGTTATAGTAATACCATGGGTCTATTATAACTGTTATAGTAATACCATGGGTCTATTATAATAACTGTTATAGTAATACCATGGGTCTATTATATTAACTGGATAGGGTATTACTAGCTTGTAGCTAAATAACTCATGTGCTCAGGGGATTCTCGCGGTACTGCAGACTGAACCAGACTAAATTCACGTGGGCTACCCAGAAATTTTCTCCATAGAACTCGATGCATATTAAAACAGCGCAAACTCAGCTGACAGAGAACCTACAGAGAACCCAACAGAGAACCCGACAGAGAACCTGACAGAGAACCTGACAGAGAACCTGACAGAGAACCTGACAGAGAACCCGACAGAGAACCCGACAGAGAACCTGACAGAGAACCTGACAGAGAACCCGACAGAGAACCTGACAGAGAACCCGACAGAGAACCCGACAGAGAACCCGACAGAGAACCTGACAGAGAACCTACAGAGGAGGTGAGGTGAACCGGGTCTCACGCACGTGCACAGAGGGGCTCGGCTGCGCTCTGACCAATCAGAGCAGTTCATCAGAGCGGGAGTTAGAGCCAGAGCCAGACGAGCACAGTTTGTGGCACTAAAGTGTGGATTTAAACAAAACCGAAGGATTTAAGAAGAAAAAAAGTTCAGGACGACAAGGGACACTAAAATCCCCACAAAATCTGATCTTTATGAAAGCTGTAGGTTCTCTGTCAGGTTCTCTGTCAGGTTCTCTGTAGGTTCTCTGTCAGGTTCTCTGTCAGGTCCTCTGTCAGGTTCTCTGTCAGGTTCTCTGTGGGTTCTCTGTCAGGTTCTCTGTGGGTTCTCTGTCAGGTCCTCTGTCAGGTTCTCTGTCAGGTCCTCTGTAGGTTCTCTGTAGGTTCTCTGTAGGTTCTCTGTCAGGTCCTCTGTCAGGTTCTCTGTGGGTTCTCTGTCAGGTTCTCTGTAGGTTCTCTGTCAGGTCCTCTGTCAGGTTCTCTGTGGGTTATCTGTCAGGTTCACTGTCAGGTTCTCTGTCAGGTCCTCTGTCAGGTTCTCTGTCAGGTTCTCTGTCGGGTCCTCTGTCAGGTTCTCTGTAGGTTCTCTGTCAGGTTCTCTGTAGGTCCTCTGTCAGATCCTCTGTCAGGTTCTCTGTCAGGTTCTCTGTCAGGTTCTCTGTAGGTTCTCTGTCAGGTTCTATGTCAGGTCCTCTGTCAGGTTCTCTGTGGGTTCTCTGTCAGGTTCTCTGTAGGTTCTCTGTCAGGTTCTCTGTCAGGTTCTCTGTAGGTTCTCTGTCAGGTTCTCTGTAGGTCCTCTGTCAGGTTCTGTCAGGTTCTCTGTAGGTTCTCTGTAGGTTCTCTGTCAGGTTCTCTGTCAGGTCCTCTGTCAGGTTTTCTGTGGGTTCTCTGTCAGGTTCTCTGTAGGTTCTCTGTCAGGTTCTCTGTCAGGTTCTCTGTAGGTTCTCTGTCAGGTTCTCTGTAGGTTCTCTGTAGGTTCTCTGAAGGTTCTCTGTAGGTTCTCTGTCAGGTTCTCTGTCAGGTCCTCTGTCAGGTTCTCTGTGGGTTCTCTGTCAGTTTTCTCTGTAGGTTCTCCGTCAGGTTCTCTGTCAGGTTCTCTGTCAGGTTCTCTGTCAGGTTCACTGTCAGGTTCTCTGTCAGGTTCTCTGTCAGGTTCTCTGTCAGGTTCTCTGTAAGGTCCTCTGTCAGGTTCTCTGTCAGGTTCTCTGTCAGGTTCACTGTCAGGTTCTCTGTCAGGTTCTCTGTCAGGTTCTCTGTCAGGTCCTCTGTCAGGTTCTCTGTCAGGTCCTCTGTCAGGTTCTCTGTCAGGTTCTCTGTCAGGTTCTCTGTAGGTTCTCTGTCAGGTTCTCTGTCAGGTCCTCTGTCAGGTTCTCTGTGGGTTCTCTGTCAGGTTCTCTGTAGGTTCTCTGTCAGGTCCTCTGTCAGGCTCTCTGTCAGGTTCTCTGTCAGGTTCTCTGTCAGGTTCTCTGTCAGGTTCTCTGTCAGGTTCAATGTCAGGTTCTCTGTAGGCTCTCTGTCAGGTTCTCTGTAGGTTCTCTGTCAGGTTCTCTGTCAGGTCCTCTGTCAGGTTCTGTCAGGTTCTCTGTAGGTTCTCTGTAGGTTCTATGTAGGTTCTCTGTCAGGTTCTCTGTCAGGTTCTCTGTCAGGTCCTCTGTCAGGTTTTCTGTGGGTTCTCTGTCAGGTTCTCTGTAGGTTCTCTGTCAGGTCCTCTGTCAGGTTCTGTCAGGTTCTCTGTAGGTTCTCTGTAGGTTCTCTGTCAGGTTCTCTGTCAGGTCCTCTGTCAGGTCCTCTGTCAGGTTCTCTGTCAGGTCCTCTGTCAGGTCCTCTGTCAGGTCCTCTGTCAGGTCCTCTGTCAGGTTCTCTGTCAGGTCCTCTGTCAGGTCCTCTGTCAGGTTCTCTGTCAGGTCCTCTGTCAGGTCCTCTGTCAGGTCCTCTGTCAGGTCCTCTGTCAGGTTCTCTGTCAGCTGAGCTGATGTTTTAATACTACGTATTGGGGAGGCCTATTGTTATTCCCCGGTTTCATATTATTCTTTTTCCGCCGAAACAATTTGATTTTTGACCCTGAAGACATGCACGAAAGTCTGCACATGGGGGGTCTAAAACGACCGGTTCGGCGAAACATTTGATTAAATTAACATTTCGAGATTGTCCGACAAAAGGGGACTGGATAGCGCCCCCTTGAAAACTCAAAAGGAGCAAGTTCTATTGGAGTATTGCATATTTTGGAGTAGGTACACGAAATTCGGATGAGTGATAGATCTCTATGAGACGAGCATAAAAGCCGGTTTAAGCACATGTCTGGGACCAACAGGAAGTCGGCCATGATGGCCTGAAGTTTCGCCACTAATTTGACTTTTCATTTATAACTTCGAACTAATTCCTACACCTGACCACTGGGGGCGCTGCAAAGTGAATGAATGAGCTTTTTGGGGCAAAATGTTTGTCCGATGAGGCTAAAAATGAATTCAGAAATACAGCGTATGACCCTGAACACAACGATATACAACACACAACTGTGAGTGCAACAGCGCCACCTACAGGCAGTTCAATGTGTTGTGTTTTTGGATTCGTACTAGTCCCTGGATTTTCATTGCACAGACTTCTACCATGTCATTTCTCCATCTGGACGGATTGAAGTTATACAATCATCGCAAAAAAGTTAGTTTCCTCATCGTTTTCATGCGAGGTAGTGGGGAATTTCTCCATGTTTGATGCTCTCCTGACCACAGGCTCAGACCTACAGAGCTGAAACTCACATCACTAACAGTTGGTGATGCCCTGAGTGTAATGGTGTGAAAATACACACCTAATATGACACTAGAGCGCCACCTATGGGGGGCTCGTGACCCAAACTTTTCCCATACAAAGTTGTACAATCAAATCTTTACATCCGTGCGAGCAAAATACTGCTGTACGTAGAGGGCGCATGACCTGGAGGTGACCACTAGGGGCGCATTTAATCCTATTAATAAGCTTTTATGTACGTAATCCTGGTGCGATAGGGCTGCCAATTTGTCGGCGAGTACGCCGCGTGACGCTTGTGGGACTGGCGCCCGGGAGGCGGCCGCAAGAGTGGCGAGGCCTTTCATCGCCGCTTGCGGCTTTAATTTACATTGAGTTCGATGGGAAAAAATTCTGGGTAGCCCACGTGAATTTAGTCTGGTCTAGTCTGCAGTACCGCGAGAATCCCCCGAGCACATGAGTTATTCAGCTACAAGCTGTAATACCCTGTCCAGTTATTATGATAGATCCATGCCCCCGTCACAAGGCGCCACTGAGCACAACCATTCATTGGAATAGGGCGCCATCTTGGATCGCCGGGGCTTGGATTCTCCAGCAGCAGATCAGAGAATCACACACATGACAAGGCAGCCCAGGAAGTTTCCCCTCAGGACACACACACCACAACAGACTGTCACAGACGTTAAAGGACACACACCACAACAGACTCTGTCACAGACGTTAAAGGAGACACACACCACAACAGACTGTCACAGACGTTAAAGGAGACACACACCACAACAGACTGTCACAGACGTTAAAGGAGACACACACCACAACAGACTGTCACAGACGTTAAAGGAGACACACACCACAACAGACTGTCACAGACGTTAAAGGAGACACACACCACAACAGACTCTGTCACAGACGTTAAAGGAGACACACACCACAACAGACTCTGTCACAGACGTTAAAGGAGACACACACCACAACAGACTCTGTCACAGACGTTAAAGGAGACACACACCACAACAGACTCTGTCACAGACGTTAAAGGAGACACACACCACAACAGACTCTGTCACAGACGTTAAAGGAGACACACACCACAACAGACTGTCACAGACGTTAAAGGAGACACACACCACAACAGACTCTGTCACAGACGTTAAAGGAGACACACCACAACAGACTCTGTCACAGACGTTAAAGGAGACACACACCACAACAGACTGTCACAGACGTTAAAGGAGACACACACCACAACAGACTCTGTCACAGACGTTAAAGGACACACACCACAACAGACTCTGTCACAGACGTTAAAGGAGACACACACCACAACAGACTCTGTCACAGACGTTAAAGGAGACACACACCACAACAGACTGTCACAGACGTTAAAGGAGACACACACCACAACAGACTCTGTCACAGACGTTAAAGGAGACACACCACAACAGACTCTGTCACAGACGTTAAAGGAGACACACACCACAACAGACTCTGTCACAGACGTTAAAGGAGACACACACCACAACAGACTCTGTCACAGACGTTAAAGGAGACACACACCACAACAGACTCTGTCACAGACGTTAAAGGAGACACACACCACAACAGACTGTCACAGACGTTAAAGGAGACACACACCACAACAGACTCTGTCACAGACGTTAAAGGAGACACACCACAACAGACTCTGTCACAGACGTTAAAGGAGACACACACCACAACAGACTGTCACAGACGTTAAAGGAGACACACACCACAACAGACTCTGTCACAGACGTTAAAGGACACACACCACAACAGACTGTCACAGACGTTAAAGGAGACACACCACAACAGACTGTCACAGACGTTAAAGGAGACACACCACAACAGACTGTCACAGACGTTAAAGGAGACACACCACAACAGACTGTCACAGACGTTAAAGGAGACACACACCACAACAGACTCTGTCACAGACGTTAAAGGACACACACCACAACAGACTGTCACAGACGTTAAAGGACACACACCACAACAGACTCTGTCACAGACGTTAAAGGAGACACACACCACAACAGACTCTGTCACAGACGTTAAAGGAGACACACACCACAACAGACTCTGTCACAGACGTTAAAGGACACACACCACAACAGACTCTGTCACAGACGTTAAAGGAGACACACACCACAACAGACTCTGTCACAGACGTTAAAGGAGACACACACCACAACAGACTGTCACAGACGTTAAAGGACACACACCACAACAGACTCTGTCACAGACGTTAAAGGAGACACACACCACAACAGACTGTCACAGACGTTAAAGGAGACACACCACAACAGACTGTCACAGACGTTAAAGGAGACACACCACAACAGACTGTCACAGACGTTAAAGGACACACACCACAACAGACTGTCACAGACGTTAAAGGAGACACACCACAACAGACTCTGTCACAGACGTTAAAGGACACACACCACAACAGACTGTCACAGACGTTAAAGGAGACACACACCACAACAGACTCTGTCACAGACGTTAAAGGAGACACACCACAACAGACTGTCACAGACGTTAAAGGAGACACACCACAACAGACTCTGTCACAGACGTTAAAGGAGACACACACCACAACAGACTGTCACAGACGTTAAAGGAGACACACACCACAACAGACTCTGTCACAGACGTTAAAGGAGACACACACACCACAACAGACTGTCACAGACGTTAAAGGAGACACACACCACAACAGACTGTCACAGACGTTAAAGGAGACACACACCACAACAGACTCTGTCACAGACGTTAAGAGAGACACACCACAACAGACTCTGTCACAGACGTTAAAGGACACACACCACAACAGACTGTCACAGACGTTAAAGGAGACACACACCACAACAGACTGTCACAGACGTTAAAGGACACACACCACAACAGACTCTGTCACAGACGTTAAAGGACACACACACCACAACAGACACTGTCACAGACGTTAAAGGAGACACACACCACAACAGACTGTCACAGACGTTAAAGGACACACACCACAACAGACTGTCACAGACGTTAAAGGAGACACACACCACAACAGACTGTCACAGACGTTAAAGGAGACACACACCACAACAGACTGTCACAGACGTTAAAGGAGACACACCACAACAGACTCTGTCACAGACGTTAAAGGACACACACCACAACAGACTCTGTCACAGACGTTAAAGGAGACACACCACAACAGACTGTCACAGACGTTAAAGGACACACACCACAACAGACTGTCACAGACGTTAAAGGAGACACACCACAACAGACTGTCACAGACGTTAAAGGACACACACCACAACAGACTCTGTCACAGACGTTAAAGGAGACACACCACAACAGACTGTCACAGACGTTAAAGGAGACACACCACAACAGACTGTCACAGACGTTAAAGGACACACACCACAACAGACTTTGTCACAGACGTTAAAGGACACACACCACAACAGACTGTCACAGACGTTAAAGGAGACACACCACAACAGACTGTCACAGACGTTAAAGGAGACACACCACAACAGACTCTGTCACAGACGTTAAAGGACACACACCACAACAGACTTTGTCACAGACGTTAAAGGACACACACCACAACAGACTGTCACAGACGTTAAAGGACACACACCACAACAGACTCTGTCACAGACGTTAAAGGAGACACACCACAACAGACTGTCACAGACGTTAAAGGAGACACACACCACAACAGACTCTGTCACAGACGTTAAAGGAGACACACCACAACAGACTCTGTCACAGACGTTAAAGGACACACACCACAACAGACTGTCACAGACGTTAAAGGAGACACACCACAACAGACTCTGTCACAGACGTTAAAGGAGACACACACCACAACAGACTCTGTCACAGACGTTAAAGGAGACACACACCACAACAGACTGTCACAGACGTTAAAGGAGACACACCACAACAGACTCTGTCACAGACGTTAAAGGAGACACACACCACAACAGACTCTGTCACAGACGTTAAAGGAGACACACACCACAACAGACTGTCACAGACGTTAAAGGAGACACACCACAACAGACTCTGTCACAGACGTTAAAGGACACACACCACAACAGACTGTCACAGACGTTAAAGGAGACACACCACAACAGACTCTGTCACAGACGTTAAAGGAGACACACCACAACAGACTGTCACAGACGTTAAAGGACACACACCACAACAGACTGTCACAGACGTTAAAGGAGACACACCACAACAGACTGTCACAGACGTTAAAGGAGACACACCACAACAGACTGTCACAGACGTTAAAGGAGACACACCACAACAGACTCTGTCACAGACGTTAAAGGAGACACACACCACAACAGACTCTGTCACAGACGTTAAAGGAGACACACACCACAACAGACTCTGTCACAGACGTTAAAGGAGACACACACCACAACAGACTCTGTCACAGACGTTAAAGGAGACACACACCACAACAGACTCTGTCACAGACGTTAAAGGAGACACACACCACAACAGACTGTCACAGACGTTAAAGGAGACACACACCACAACAGACTCTGTCACAGACGTTAAAGGACACACACCACAACAGACTGTCACAGACGTTAAAGGAGACACACACCACAACAGACTGTCACAGACGTTAAAGGAGACACACCACAACAGACTCTGTCACAGACGTTAAAGGAGACACACACCACAACAGACACTGTCACAGACGTTAAAGGAGACACACCACAACAGACTCTGTCACAGACGTTAAAGGAGACACACCACAACAGACTCTGTCACAGACGTTAAAGGAGACACACCACAACAGACACTGTCACAGACGTTAAAGGAGACACACTCCACAACAGACTCTGTCACAGACGTTAAAGGAGACACACTCCACAACAGACTCTGTCACAGACGTTAAAGGAGACACACCACAACAGACGTTAAAGGAGACACACCACAACAGACTCTGTCACAGACGTTAAAGGACACACACCACAACAGACTGTCACAGACGTTAAAGGAGACACACTCCACAACAGACTGTCACAGACGTTAAAGGAGACACACACCACAACAGACTCTGTCACAGACGTTAAAGGAGACACACACCACAACAGACTCTGTCACAGACGTTAAAGGAGACACACTCCACAACAGACGTTAAAGGAGACACACACCACAACAGACTGTCACAGACGTTAAAGGAGACACACACCACAACAGACTGTCACAGACGTTAAAGGAGACACACACCACAACAGACTGTCACAGACGTTAAAGGAGACACACACCACAACAGACTGTCACAGACGTTAAAGGACACACACCACAACAGACTGTCACAGACGTTAAAGGAGACACACCACAACAGACTCTGTCACAGACGTTAAAGGAGACACACACCACAACAGACTGTCACAGACGTTAAAGGAGACACACACCACAACAGACACTGTCACAGACGTTAAAGGAGACACACTCCAGGGAAGGAGGAAGGTCTCTCTGTAGCAAAGCAAACGTCACCCAGTCTGAGACAGATGGACACAGATGATCTGGATCCTCACTTCTCAAACTGTCGCACCTCTGGCTCAGAACCAGCAACAAGGAGAGAAACCCCCCAGGAGCAAAGGAATTAAATGTTCAACACAAAGAACATGAATGTTTGTCAGTGTTATCGGTGTGGAAGAACATCGTTGGACCTTGGAATGTGCTGAAATACCCCTGTAACATGTACGTCACGTGATTAGAGAAAAACAAATTATATAAACTAAGAAGAAACTTTATAAAAGAAAGATACGATGGGTACAATTATGGGGTTTTTTTGCATTGTGAGGATTGATATGTACATGTGAAACAATATGCAGAAATATATACAATATGTACAAATATGTACAATATACATACGTCCAAAACTCTAACTCAAGAGTGTAATCCTCAACGTGATGGGTTTTTGTCCGTTTGTGAAAGCAGCAATAGTAGTTTGAATGTATGGTCCAAAGTATGAATATTGTCCCCAAAAGCGTTGGAAGTGAGTGGGTGAGTTATGTGGCTGTAGAGCCTCCTACCACATTCGCAGAATCAAAAGAAAGATGTGGTACTCTCCTGAATCCCAGAAGATATTGAGGCCAGTTCTTTGGAAAACACAGATCACTCAAACACACAATATGCTCAGTAACGACGGAGGCATCTGCAGCCGAACTCTGGCATCCCACCCAGTTACCGGTGGAGCCGCAGTAGCTCTGATTATGTCCACTGGAAGTTGCGCTTGAGACTATCGCGAGACTAGCGTTACCATCCTCCAGCTCACCACCCTCTCCACAGAGTAAGTCATCTTTAATTATATAGCACAGTTTTACAGACATCTGAACCTCTCTGCTTCTGTCTCCAGTGCAATCCTCGCCTGCTCCACGGCCTTCGCTTCGTTTCTTTTCTTTTTCTGTTCAAATGTCAACTTTTCAGAATCCATACTTCAATCAGTTACTACTTTACTTTTCCCTGACAAGACCCTGTGTCCACCAAAACAGACTTCAAACATAATCAAATATCCTCTTTCAGCTTCTTGACTCCAACACCAACGTCACGGTGTTTAACTGCAACAGTTTGTCTGTTTTAAAACTTTCCAGCAGCTCGTCTGACGGTGAAGCCCTGATTTCCCTAAAAAGGTTCACTACAGACTGACTCTTCCCACTGAAGACCTGACCCAGAGTCTGACTCACTCAACCCCAGTCTTCAGGAAGAGTAGCAATGGTTTTTAATGCGCTGTGCGTCAAAACACACAGTTCCTTCCGTGACCACAGTGCGCTCTCGAGCCCATGACAGGGACAGGGATGTGGAGCCTGGAGCCCATGACAGGGACAGGGATGTGGAGCCTCGAGCCCATGACAGGGACAGGGATGTGGAGCCTCGAGCCCATGACAGGGACAGGGATGTGGAGCCTCGAGCCCATGACAGGGACAGGGATGTGGAGCCTCGAGCCCATGACAGGGACAGGGATGTGGAGCCTCGAGCCCATGACAGAGACACGGATGTGGAGCCTCGAGCCCATGACAGGGACAGGGATGCGGAGCCTGGAGCCCCATGACAGGGACAGGGATGTGGAGCCTGGAGCCCATGACAGGGACAGGGATGTGGAGCCTGGAGCCCATGACAGGGACAGGGATGTGGAGCCTGGAGCCCATGACAGGGACAGGGATGTGGAGCCTGGAGCCCATGACAGGGACAGGGATGTGGAGCCTGGAGCCCATGACAGGGACAGGGATGTGGAGCCTGGAGCCCATGACAGGGACAGGGATGTGGAGCCTGGAGCCCATGACAGGGACAGGGATGTGGAGCCTGGAGCCCATGACAGGGACAGGGATGTGGAGCCTCGAGCCCATGACAGGGACAGGGATGTGGAGCCTGGAGCCCATGACAGGGACAGGGATGTGGAGCCTCGAGCCCATGACAGGGACAGGGATGTGGAGCCTGGAGCCCATGACAGGGACAGGGATGCGGAGCCTCGAGCCCATGACAGGGACAGGGATGTGGAGCCTGGAGCCCATGACAGGGACAGGGATGCGGAGCCTCGAGCCCATGACAGGGACAGGGATGTGGAGCCTCGAGCCCATGACAGGGACAGGGATGCGGAGCCTCGAGCCCATGACAAGGACAGGGATGCGGAGCCTCGAGCCCATGACAGGGACAGGGATGTGGAGCCTCGAGCCCATGACAGGGATGTGGATGTGGAGGCTGCGACCCGTACTTACTTCCGCACTAAGACAACAAACAAGTGAATTCCATTGAGGAAAACACTCGAACAGGTCCAATACCATGTGGTCTCTCTCTATGGTCCGATACCATGTGGTCTCTCTCTATGGTCCGATACCATGTGGTCTCTCTCTATGGTCCGATAACATGTGTTCTGTGATTTAGGGCGATACAAGAATAAGCTGAAATGAATGGTATGGTGCAAATAGATATCAGTGGATCAAGCTTTACTGTGTATAACTACTGTGTATAACTACTGTGTATAACTACTGTGTATAACTACTGTGTATAACTACTGTGTATAACTACTGTGTATAACTACTGTGTATAATTACTGTGTATAACTACTGTGTATAACTACTGTGTATAACTACTGTGCATAACTACTGTGTATAACTACTGTGTATAATTACTGTGTATAATTACTGATGAACATAACGAGTACTTTCCTTGGAACATGTTTGAAGCAGTACTGGAGTACTCGAGTACTGTGTGAGCTCTATAGAACTCGTGTCTGTGAATCTTTGAAGCACTATTTGTGGCGACTCTCGACATTGACGAGAGAATCCTGAACTGCTGTTTGTAGCATTAATCAAGAGTCTGAATCAGCCAATCCCTGCCCCCCTGAGAGCTGAGGGGGCGGAGCCAGTCAGCTCAATGCACTGCTGACTGAGACACCCGCACCAGAGGGGTCACTTCTGTTGGGAGTCGGCACCAGAAGGAACGTCAAGAGCCCGGAGGAAACTCTGAACCATCAACGTCAAGAGCCCGGAGGAAACTCTGAACCATCAACGTCAAGAGCCCGGAGGAAACTCTGAACCATCAACGTCAAGAGCCCGGAGGAAACTCTAGACCATCAACGTCAAGAGCCCGGAGGAAACTCTAGACCATCAACGTCAAGAGCCCGGAGGAAACTCTAGACCATCAACGTCAAGAGCCCGGAGGAATCTCTGGACCATCAACGTCAAGAGCCCGGCGGAATCTCTGGACCATTAACGTCAAGAGCCCGGCGGAATCTCTGGACCATTAACGTCAAGAGCCCGGAGGAAATTCTGGACCATCAACGTCAAGAGCCCGGAGGAAACTCTGGACCATCAACGTCAAGAGCCCGGAGGAACCTCTGGACTATCAACGACTTAAAGACGTCCCAATGTTGAGGTTCATGTGAAACCAGCAGAGCAACGTCCACTCAACAATCTTTACCAAACAGAATCTTTTCTTCTTTCAAGAGTACGCAAGGAAAGCTACAAAACTATCAACTGAAAAACTGGTTTCACCAGAAGACACTACATCAGAGACTTGGAAAGTGAGAAACCCTGGTCCAAGAACAAGTGAGAAACCCTGGTCCAAGAACAAGTGAGAAACGCTGGTCAAAAAACAAGTGAGAAACCCTGGTCCAAGAACAAGTGAGAAACCCTGGTCCAAGAACAAGTGAGAAACCCTGGTCCAAGAACAAGTGAGAGACGCTGCTCCAAGAACAAGTGAGAAACGCTGGTTCAAGAACAAGTGAGAAACCCTGGTCCAAGAACAAGTGAGAAACGCTGGTTCAAGAACAAGTGAGAAACCCTGGTCCAAGAACAAGTGAGAAACGCTGGTTCAAGAACAAGTGAGAAACCCTGGTCCAAGAACAAGTGAGAAACGCTGGTCCAAAAACAAGTGAGAAACCCTGGTCCAAGAACAAGTGAGAAACCCTGGTTCAAGAACAAGACTCTGGAGCGAGCTCAGGATCAGCCTGGTCTGAAGAACACGTCTGTCAGCAGAACATTCTGACTGAGCTCCTCTGTCTGACCTGAGGGACCATCGCACCCCAACGGTTCTCAAAAGGAGGTCCCCATGATCCTCTCGTCCAAGAAGCTTCCGGAGCTGTGGGACTACTTCCTGATGTACGTTTCCGGAGCGCTGGAGTTTAACCCGGAATGCAAAGATGTGGATCTGGGACTGTTCCCACTGCGCATGAACCCTACCATCAAAACCAGGTGAGGTCTGTCTCTGAGCGCCTTTAAAGGGCACCAGGTGAGTCTTTAAAGGGCACCAGGTGAGGCCTCTGTCTTTAAAGGGCACCAGATGAGGCCTCTGTCTTTAAAGGGCACCAGATGAGGCCTCTGTCTTTAAAGGGCACCAGGTGAGGTCTCTGTCTTTAAAGGGCACCAGGTGAGCCTTTAAAGGTCACCAGGTGAGGTCTCTGTCTTTAAAGGGCACCAGGTGAGGCCTCTGTCTTTAAAGGGCACCAGGTGAGCCTTTAAAGGGCACCAGGTGAGGTCTCTGTCTTTAAAGGGCACCAGGTGAGGCCTCTGTCTTTAAAGGGCACCAGGTGAGGTCTCTGTCTTTAAAGGGCACCAGGTGAGCCTTAAAATGGCACCAGGTGAGGTCTCTGTATTTAAAGGGCACCAGGTGAGGTCTCTGTCTTTAAAGGGCACCAGGTGAGCCTTAAAATGGCACCAGGTGAGGTCTCTGTCTTTAAAGGGCACCAGGTGAGCCTTAAAATGGCACCAGGTGAGGTCTCTGTATTTAAGGGGCACATATCATGAGAAATTTAGAGTTGTGGAGCTGCTCATACTTGTCATATTTTCTAATGTCTTAATCTAACAACTGCTTCTTTTTTCAATCATTGGTTTAATCCATCAGTTATTTTTTAATTTAAATAAGTTAAAAAAAATTATTGTACTGTTTTAGTAGAACATTTTAATATATTTTAATATGTAGGTTTTAGACCAATCACTGCGGAGGATTCTGAGCCACGATTAAATACAGTTTATGAAAACTCTGTGGAATGCATGAATTTGAATGAATTAAATAAACAACTACAGTGATAGGATGAAAGGCATTTACGTAATTAAAAGTGGCCAATGAAGCAAATAATTAAATATCACGACCAGGGTCCTCCACGCTACAGGCTCCTGGACTGTGCAAGCCCCGCTGATCCAAGATGGCGTCCTATTCAAATGAACGGCTTGTGCTCAGTAGTTCATGGGACTTCATGGAGACTGGGAGATTAGCAGAACTCGCCCATATTTGGGCATCGTCTGGTCCTCCCGGTTCTGTGCAGTGGATGATCTCCCATAATGCTTTGCTCCAAACGTACGTGTGTGGCTTTCATGCACGTGCACAGAGGGGCTTGGCCGCGCTCTGACCAATCAGAGCTGATCATCAGAGCAGCAGCAGGGCGGAGTCAGAGCGGGAAGGAAAGGAGCAGAGTTTGTGGCAGTAAAGTGTGGATTTAAAGAAAACCAAAGGATTTAAGAAGAAAAACAGTTCAGGACGACAAGAGACACTAACATCCCCACAAAATCTGATCTTTATGAAAGCTGTAGGTTCTCTGTCAGGTTCTCTGTAGGTTCTCTGTCAGGTTCTCTGTCAGGTTCTCTGTAGGTTCTCTGTCAGGTTCTCTGTCGGGTTCTCTGTCAGGTTCTCTGTAGGTTCTCTGTCAGGTTCTCTGTCAGGTTCTCTGTCAGGTTCTCTGTAGGTTCTCTGTCAGGTTCTCTGTCAGGTTCTCTGTAGGTTCTCTGTCAGGTTCTCTGTCAGGTTCCCTGTCAGGTTCTCTGTCAGGTTCTCTGTCAGGTTCCCTGTCAGGTTCTCTGTCAGGTTCTCTGTCAGGTTCCCTGTCAGGTTCTCTGTAGGTTCTCTGTCAGGTTCTCAGTCAGGTTCTCTGTAGGTTCTCTGTCAGGTTCTCTGTCAGGTTCTCTGTCAGGTTCTCTGTCAGGTTCTCTGTCAGGTTCTCTGTAGGTTCTCTGTCAGGTTCTCTGTCAGGTTCTCTGTAGGTTCTCTGTCAGGTTCTCTGTCAGGTTCCCTGTCAGGTTCTCTGTCAGGTTCTCTGTCAGGTTCCCTGTCAGGTTCTCTGTCAGGTTCTCTGTAGGTTCTCTGTCAGGTTCTCTGTCAGGTTCTCTGTCAGGTTCTCTGTTAGGTTCTCTGTCAGGTTCTCTGTCAGGTTCTCTGTAGGTTCTCTGTTAGGTTCTTTGTAGGTTCTCTGTCAGGTTCTCTGTAGGTTCTCTGTCAGGTTCTCTGTTAGGTTCTCTGTAGGTTCTTTGTCAGGTTCTCTGTCAGGTTCTCTGTAGATTCTCTGTAGGTTCTCTGTAGGTTCTCTGTTAGGTTCTCTGTAGGTTCTCTGTCAGGTTCTCTGTCAGGTTCTCTGTAGGTTCTCTGTCAGGTTCTCTGTAGGTTCTCTGTAGGTTCCCTGTCAGGTTCTCTGTCAGGTTCTCTGTCAGGTTCTCTGTAGGTTATCTGTAGGTTCTCTGTCAGGTTCTCTGTCAGGTTCTCTGTCAGGTTCTCTGTAGGTTCTCTGTCAGGTTCTCTGTAAGTTCTCTGTAGATTCTCTTTCAGGTTCTCTGTAGGTTCTCTCTCAGGTCCTCTGTCAGGCTCTCTGTCAGGTTCTCTGTCAGGTTCTCTGTCAGGTTCACTGTCAGGTTCTCTGTAGGTTCTCTGTAGGTTCTCTGTCAGGTTCTCTGTAGGTTCTCTGTCAGCTTCTCTGTCAGGTTCTCTGTCAGGTTCTCTGTAGGTTCTCTGTAGGTTCTCTGTAGGTTCTCTGTTAGGTTCTCTGTAGGTTCTCTGTCAGTTTCTCTGTAGGTTCTCTGTCAGGTTCTCTGTAGGTTCTAGGTAGGATCTCTTTCAGGTTTTCTGTAGGTTCTCTGTCAGCTTCTCTGTCAGGTTCTCTGTCAGGTTCTCTGTAGGTTCTCTGTAGGTTCTCTGTTAGGTTCTCTGTAGGTTCTCTGTCAGGTTCTCTGTAGGTTCTCTGTCAGGTTCTCTGTAGGTTCTCTGTAGGTTCTCTCTCAGGTTATCTGTCAGTTTCTCTGTAGGTTCTCTGTCAGGTTCTCTGTAGGTTCTCTGTAGGTTCTCTGTCAGGTTCTCTGTAGGTTCTCTGTAGGTTCTCTCTCAGGTTCTCTGTCAGGTTCTCTGTAGGTTCTATGTAGGATCTCTTTCAGGTTTTCTGTAGGTTCTCTGTCAGGTTCTCTGTAGGTTCTCTGTCAGCTTCTCTGTCAGGTTCTCTGTCAGGTTCTCTGTAGGTTCTCTGTAGGTTCTCTGTTAGGTTCTCTGTCAGGTTCTCTGTAGGTTCTCTGTCAGGTTCTCTGTAGGTTCTCTGTCAGCTGAGGTTGAGCTGTTTTAATTTACATTGAGTTCTATGGGACTTTTTTCTGGGTAGTCCTCGTGAATGTAGTCTGCAGCGCCCCCTGTGGCCATGGGTGGGACAGCTGTAAGCTAGTAATACCCTAGCCCAGGGGTCGGCAACTCAAAAAGTTCAAAGAGTCATATTTGACCAGAAATACAAAAAACAAATCTGTCTGGAGCCGCATAAACGTAACTGCCTTGTATAAGGCTTATATGAAAGTACCACAGGCTGTGAGCTGCATTAGCCTAGCATCAACATGAGTAAGTATAGGCTACAAATACATAATATGCATTCATGATTATTATATGTATTATCACTGTAGTGCAAGAGAATGACGCACCATGTGACTACTCTGCTACTCTATACCATATGTGCTTTGAGTTTAACTTTCCTTTTGTTACAGTATATAATATACAGTACATTAATCCGCTTTGTGGCTCAGAGTTCACACACCTGCATCATGTCACACGTCGTCACGGCTGGAGTTGGCTGGAGCTGAATGTCCCAAACAGTGTTTCGCACTTCTTTGTTCCTCATGTTGCAACAAAATTCAGTAGTAGAAGTTTGGAGATGAATCCGCTCCAGAATAACTGCGGTCGCACTGTTTCTCTCCAGACTGGGGTCAGCTCCAATTTTCCACACGACTCTTTTTGTTCTTCGATATATTCTCACAAAGCAAACATGAAGCAGTCCTTCCTCTTTGACAATGAAAGAAAATGTTCCTGTCCATTCTTCCCTGAATTCTCGGTTCTTATCAACTCTTTCTCTTTATAGCTTTTGGATTCATGTGGCACATGCCAGTTTGTTTGCAACAGCGCCCACCCGGCGGG